CTGAGGGATACAGTAAAGCAAGAGGACACTAAACCCACCCAAAATTAATAGAAGTAAAGAAATAGCAAAGATCAGAGTAGATATAAATGAAGTAGGGGTTTACAAATTCCAAAAAGGTCAATGAAAAATTTTAACGATAAAATCAACAAACACTTAGCCAGACTAAGAATAAAGAGGGAAGATATGAACAAATCAAATCATAGATGAAAAACATACATTACTATTTATATCACAAAATAGAAAGCTCATTATAAAAAATCGTAAGATGATAAAGGGAAAACACAATAGAAATGTTTAAATTTCTGAACACATATTACCTAACCAGATTGAACTATGAGCCATGAAATCCACAAACAGACCAATAATTGGCAGTGAGATTGAAGCAATAAATATTTCCCAACAAATAAAAGTTCAGGATAGAATCACTTGACTATTGAATTCTATCAAACTCTACAGAATAAATAACCACGTGTGTTTCTTTTTTCTTTTTGATCAAACAATTGATAGGGAGTCTACTATGTTTCAAACTCATTCTAGAAGACCAACATCATACTGGTTAAAATGGGGGTCACAAAATTTGATTTTTATTCTTTAGAATTTGCACAAACCCAGGACACAATGAACTCTTTTTTTTTTTTTTTTTCAGAGCACGCAGAAACTAACTTGTTTCTGACTCACAGAGATATGAAGTCCAAACCAACCAGACTCTAATTGCTGAGAGAAACACACTGGCTTATTTAAATTAAAGAACATCTGATTGATCTCTTTGCATCATGAATTTTATTCTATTGAGATGAGTGTGTTTCAACTTTCCTCCTACAGAGGATTTGCCTGAACTTTTCTCTTTTTATAGAACAAAAAGAATCACATAACAAATCAAAAGTTATGGGATAATGAAAGTGTAACACTAAGGAGGATTAGCAATAATTGCCTGCATCAAAAGATTAAAGAATCAAACAAATAACCTAGAGATGCATCTCAAGGATGTAGTAAAGAGAACTAAAACTAATAGAATAAATAAAATAACAAATAGCAGATCTTAAAAAGATGAAATAAGAAAACTCAATGAAACAAAGTTTTTGAAAAGATGGACAAACTCAACAAATCTTTAGCTTGATTAAGGAAAAAAGAAAGGAAAAAATAAGTAAAATCATAAATAATACAAGACATATTACAACTGATACTACAAAAGTAAAATAGAATATTAGAAAATTTTCGAGAGACTATGTCTTAAAATAGGGGAAACTTAGAAGAAATAGATAAGTTTATGGACACATAAACTACACAAATTGATATATATGAAGGCATAAAAACACAAACATACTCCAATGGATAGTGAAATTGAACCTGTAATCAAATATTTCTCAACAAATAAAGGTCCAACATAGAATGGCTTCATTGCTAAGTTCTACTAAACTCACAGAACTAACAACATTGTGTTTAGTAAAAAATTCCAAACAATTGTAAGAGAGGAAACTCAAACTTATTCTTCAAGTCCAGCATAATTTTGGTACAAAAACCACAGAAGAACACAGCAAATAAACTATATCTGTGATATATAGGAAAAATTATCAAACTATACTAGCAAATAAAATCCAACACTATTCCAAAAGATCATTCACCATGTTGAAGATGGATTTTTTCCAAAGGACGCATAGATGGCTTCACATAGACAAATCAATAAATGTAATAATCACATCAAAACAATGAAGGATAAAATATATTTCACAAAATTCAACATCGCTGCATGATAAAAACCCTGAACAGGGGCTGTGGCTGTGACTCAGTGGTAGCACACTTGCCTGGCGTGTGTGAGGTACTAGGTTCGATTCTCAGCACCACATATAAATGAATAAAATAAGATCTATCAACAACTTAAACAAAACAAACAAAATAAAAAAAATCCTGAATAAAATCGCTATTGAAGGATTGTACCTTAACATAATTAAGACAAGATATGGCAAAAACACATTCAACATGAAAATAAATGGGGAAAACCATAAAGCATTTCCTCTAAATCTAGAACAAGACAAAGGAATCCACTCTCACTGCTCTTATTAAATATAGAAGTAGAAGTTTTAGCCAGAGCAATAAACTAGAGAGAGAAATAAAAGCTGTAAACAGGAAGGAGAGACTTCAAATTTTCCATGTTTGCAGATCATATGAATCTAAAAATAGAAAAATTTAAAGACTCCTCCAAAAAGTGACTAGAATTGATTAAAAAATTTGCAGGATACAATTCAATATTAAGATCAGTAGAATTTTTGTAACTAATAATGTAAATTATTAGAAAAAAATCATGAAAGGAATACCATTCATAAAACCTACAACAAAAATTAAATATCTAGAAAAGAATTTGACCAAGGAAGTGAAAGATCTGCACATCTTTACAAAAATTAAAAGAAAGAAATTAAAGACACACACACACACACACATACACACACACACACACATACACATGCAAAAATGTAAAGACCCCTGTCTCATTTTCATGCACTGGAAAAATTAGTACTGTTTGTAGGGTTATAAAATTCAAATAAATTTAAAGATCAAATATGATCCTCATGAAAAGACCAATGGAATTCTTTGTGTGAATGGAAAAAATAGTCCAAAAATTTATAAGGAAGCATACAAAAAGCCCCAAAGAGCCAATATCATCTTGAACAAAAAGAACAAAACTGAAGACATCCTGATTCCTAGTTTCCAGACACAGGACAGAGGCAGAGTACATGACAGAGGCAGAGTGAGCATAGTAGCATGGTGCTGGCATAAAAACAGACACATTATCAGACGGAAAAACATAAAGGTCCCAGAAGTGAACTCATGCATCTGTGGAAAATGGTTCTGAAAAAAAAAAGCCAAAACCATATATTGGAGAAGGTCACCCTTTTTAGTACAGTTGTGATAATTATAAAGCCACATGCAAAAGATTGAAAGTTGACTCTATCTCTCATCTGCACAGAATCAACTCAAAGTGTTTTGTGTCAAGGACATAAAAGTAAGGCAGGAAGCTCTAAAACTGCTGGAAGAAGATATAGGGGAAATTTTGCATGAAATTGATAAAGGGATTTTTTTTTTGCATATGATCCCAACGCACAGAAAACAAAAGCAAAAATGCACAAATGTATTACATAAAATTAAAATGATCCTACATAACAGAGTAAATAATCAGTAGAGTGAAGAGTCAGCCTACAGGTTGGGATAAAATATTTGCCATCTAGGATCTTTTAGAGGAAGAACACCTCATAATCAAAGGGTAACAATGGGTATCACTTCTCTGAACGTATGTAGCCAGAGGAAATGATATTAGCATACCGAAGAAATGCCTGCATGTTCATGTTTATTGTGGCACTATTCACAATAGCTAGGATGAATCAATTTAGGTAGCCATAAACAAGTGAGTGGATAGAGACAATGTGGTATATGTACACAATGGGATACTACTCATCCTTAAAGAAGAGTGAAATCCCATGATCACAGCAAAATGGATGGAACCGCAAGCCATTATTTTAAGTGAAATAAGCCAGACACAGAAAAACAAGTTCCATGATATATTGAATCTAAAAAAGGGTCAATTTGAATTTACAGTAATTATTACTAAAGGCTGGGTTATAGTGGGAAGGAATAAGAGCAATAAAGGGAAGTTGATTTAATGAGATATTACCTCAATCAGGCTAATATGTAGAATTAATGCATGTTAAAATTTATAAACAGAATTGCAAACAGAGACAGAAGTAATTTCAGAGATCCACTGGCCTAGTACCTTAATTTATGATTAGTAAGAGGGTATTGGTGACATAGCAAGGTGAAATATCACCAAAGATTCAGTACAAAATCTTTTTTTTTTTTTTTTTAAGAATCCAAGTCTTGCGGATTCTTAAATCCACAAGAACACAAGCAACAGAAGCAGTCCCATCTGGAAGAGGTGAGAGATTGGTGGAGCCATAGTTTCTCAAGCCTCTCCCTTCATTTCTCTGAGATTGTGTCTTCCTTGGTTCTGCTGATTAAGTTTCACCTCTGTATTGACAGCGAGGGGAGAAGCCCTTCTGTGCCTCTTCCTTTTGTAGAATCTATGACCCAGTTTTCCTTGAAGTGAAATAATGGGCACTGATTTGAGGGGAAGCTTGCTGGTCTATGAACAGAGTCAGAGAGGTGTTTGCTTTACTTTTCTAGAGTGACTTTGGAGGCAGCTCTGATGAAAGCCATAGCACACCATTCTAGGCATTGGAGCTCATTCAAATTCCAGTTTTGATCCCTGTGAAGTGTGTGAATGAAGGTCCCCACATTCACAGAGTCTCTATTTCCTCATTTGTCAAAAAAAAAAAATCTCTGCCCTGTGCTCCCCAGGATTTAGGGGTTTGGGGTGTTAAATAGCAAATGCTATGTACATTTACTTAGTTACATGATGATGTATGTTTGGTATTTCAAAATGTTTAAATTGTATTACCTAGTTTATGCTTAGGCACTTGTGATGTTAGTTCAGCACTTAAAAGTACTAAAAAGACTTGATTTTCAAAGCCGAACTATCTTATTGTTTGATGAAGTATTACATGTTCAATATTTTTATATAGAAGTCAGAGATACCCTTATTTCCCCCAAGTCATGAATTTCTAAACTGTCAATTAGTCTGAGAATCCAGCATGTTGAGCAGTGTTTTGTATCAAATACTCTTTTCTTAATCATAGCGGCACATTGGAACTACCAGGGACTGTGTGATTGTGTGTTTATTTTCTTGCCTGTTTTTAAAATGCCTATTCCTGTGATCTGTTCCAGAGTGGCAGAACTAGGCTGTCATAGAATTTTTGAAAGAAGACAAGAGTAAACAGTTTGCTTCAACCCATATCAGGTGACCAGTGTACACTTAGAAGGAATTAGAACTTACCTAATTCATTGGCTCAGCACTTTATGTCAATAGAACACTTGCTGATTATAGGGAGCACTATAAAAACTGTACTTTGATTGTAAGCTCATAGCTGTCTCAGTAAAAGGACAAGGCTTCAATGGATCCAGTTGTAGCCTTGGTGCTGTGTCTCTCCTGTTTGCTTCTCCTCTCATTATGGAGACAGAGATCTGGGAGAGGGAAACTCCCACCAGGACCCATGCCTCTCCCAATTCTTGGGAATATCCTGCAGATAGATACTAAAAACATCAGCAAATCCTTAACCAATGTAAGTATGTTGATGCTTCTCCAGTGGCTTGTAAAGGATAAATAAATTAATGCTTAATTTTTAATTAAATATATGCACAAAGCAAATTATTAAAAGAGATTGTTGTGAAGAAAATACTCTCTTTGGGTATTAATGTTTCCATTGTTTTTATATTTTTCACTGATAGAGGCAGTGTAATGAAACAATGCATCAGGGTTAAAAGAAATGCTTACATTTAATATTTGGAAGGCACTATTAATGTCAAAAGTCTGAAGAACCCTTGCCCTTCATTGTTTCATAGTCATTTGCTGTGATTTTCTATTTTCTGCACATTTTAATTTGTTCATGATGCTTTTGAGTGAATTTTTATTCATTTAAGCGTGTCTCTCATTTCCAGGAGTTCTGACTAGCTTCTTTTCAGTATCTCTATTTCTTTATTGAAATGGTCTTTCAACCCCTTAGTTTTCTCTCTTAATTCATTCCTTAGGCCTTCCTCTAGTTTACTAAACATTTTAATAATCAGTTTTGTATCATTATTCTCTAGAATTTCACACACTTTCTTATCTGTGGAACCCTTTGGAGGGGGATTGTAAATTTGGGAAGAAGATATTTTGTCTGTTTCATCAAGTTGTCAGAGGTTTTGGACTTGCACTTCAGTGGAGATAGCTTCCCCTTTCTCTTTTATACACATATGCTTTTAAAAAATTAATTTAATTTTAGTTTTTACACAAATAGAGCCCAACTTTTCATTTCTCTGGGTGTACAAAATGGAATGTTACCCGGTCTTAAAGAAGAATAAAATTATGGCATTTATGGGTAAATAGAGTTGGAGAATATCATGCTAAGTGAAGTAAGCCAATTCCAGAATAACCAAAGGCCAAATGTTTTCTCTGATAAGTGGATGCTGATCCATAATGGTGGGGGCAGGCAAGAGAAGAAGGGAGGAATTTTGGATTGAGCAGATGGGAGGGAGAGGAAGGGAGGGTGTTTGTATGTGGCGGGGAAGATTGTGAAATGAAATGGACATTATCACCTATGGGAACATATACACCTTTGGGGTGTAGTTATCTCCTTTGTTTTGGGACCTCTCTCTGTTTTTGATATATGAGTAGGTCCAGGTGTGTGACCTGATCTTGCTGTCTGGTTGATCCTCCTGGGGGCCTGGTTGTAGGTTTGACGTTTCGTTTCCTTAATTCTATATGTTGAAGTAATGTTGATGCTGAGGTGGGGCTAGAACACGTGTGGGGTGAGATTCTTTGTTACTCAGCTGAGTTGTGTGTGTGGCTTGGGAGCAGGATGTCTACTCTGTGAAGCTGAAGTGACCCACTCACTTTCTGATCCCACTTAGAGGAGGTGGTGAGCCAGGAGCAGCACTATTGTTATCAACAGATGTACAGCCTTGAGACAAATGTCCAGCACCTATTTTGACATTGGTAAAACTAATCACCACCTATAGAGAAATGATGGGATCAAAAATAAAAAGAAAAATGTGAATGAGATCACTATTACACAGCAGAGGTCTACTACTTTGTCCGTTGTGTTAATAATCATAAGAACATGAATGAGGGACAAATGGCATAAAACGTATAATTATATACTTAATGAAATTACATTTTCTCATGTGAAGAGAAAATAGGATAGAGAGGGAGGAGAATGTTTAAAATGTTTTCAAGAGTGAAGGCAGGAGAGGCAGAAGATAGATCACAAATGTAGACTCTAAAGAAAGAGAAATAAAAAATTAACTGTAAGTTGTTTACAAATGAAAGAGGAAGAGGAACAGGAAAATTTGAGTGTTATTGGGAGAAGAGAGCGAAGAAGGGCCATCAAGAGGGCTAAAACCAAGGTACAGCAAACAAGCAAATGTGAGAGCAAAACAATTCAAAACCATGGATGCATACATCCCTCCTGTGTGAAACCAGTGGTAAATAATAAACAGGGGCAGGTGAAAGCAAACTGATATGAATATATACAAATATTGAACCTATTCTTGCAGTGAGTACACACACATGCACACACAAACACACAGAAATCTTGCACAATGGAAAGAAGTAAAAAATAATAAAATACAATAAAATGATTGTGGGCTCAGTTGGTCCAGCCGTAGCTCATCAAAGAGCTGAGGAAGGTGTGGCTGTGGAGTCAAGGAGAGACCTCTGGGGAACAGATTCAGATAACTTGATCCACTTTATTATTGCATAGGCAAGCTTTTGTGCATAGCCTGTTCCTGGGCGAATTTATGTGAGGGTCATAATGATCCAGTAAGCTAGCAGTGCTTACAAGCAGTGACTAATGGGCTAATAGGTCACTGGCAGAAAAGCAGAAGGAAAAGGACATGTTGTGCACCTGAGTGCACCTGAGGGAGGCCAGGTTTCCATGGTGATGGGGCTGAGTGTGGTTAGTGTGCTAATCACAACTTCCGGATTCAGTGTGCTGAACCCTGAGAGTTTCAACTCATGGGCCCAACAAATGATATTTCCAAAAAAAAAAAAAAAAAATTAAAGTTTTTTATTTGTTATTTTAAATATACATGAGAGTAGAGTGTATTTGGACTTGGATCCCATTCTTGAGGTTGTACTTTATGTAGAGCTACATGGGTTGTGTATTCGTTTATGAGCGAAGGAAAGTTATGTCTGGTTCATTCTACTCTCCTTTCTATTCCCATCCATCCTCCCTTCCCTTCATTCCCCTTTGTCCAATCCATCGAACTTCTATACTTCCTCTCTCTACCCTTCCTTGTTGTGGGTTAGCATCCACATATCAGAGAGAACATTCGGCCTTTGTGAAATATCACATAGCATGATATTTTTTAGTTCCATCCATTTACTGGCAAATGCCACAATGTCGTTTATCTTTATGACTGAGTAATATTTGAATCATTGTGTATATAAACCACAGTTTGTTTACTCAGTGATCTGTTGAAGGACACCTAGGTTGGTTCCATAGGTTGACTATTGTGAGTTGAGCTGCTCTACGTATTGATATGGCTGTGTCACTGTAGTATGCTGATTTTAAGTGCTTTGGGGATAAACTGAGGAGTGTGATAACTGAGTTAAATGGTGGTTCCATTCCAGGTTTTCTAAAGAAAACTGCTTTCCAGAGTGGATGCACCAATTTGTAGTATCACCAGCAATGTAAGAGTGAACCTTTTCCTCCACATCCTCACCAACATTTATTGTTACTTGTATTCTAATTATTTGCCATTCTGACTGGGGAGAAATGGAATATCAGTATAGTTTTAATCTGCATTTCTCTAATTGCTGGAGCTGTTGAACATTTTTTCATATATTTGTTGAGCATTCGTATTTCTTCTGTGAAGTAGCCAGTCAGTTTTTTTGCTCATTTGCTGATTGGGTTATTAAGTTTTTTTGAGTTCTTGAATTTTAAAACATAAAACAAACAATATATTTTAAATGGGGTGAACATGGAGGGGAAAAAAGGGAAAATATTAATGAGAAGTAAAGGGCCTTTTTCCACTGAGGGTCTAAATTGTTGGTAGGGATGGATTTTTATTTTTTATATTTATTTTTTGCTTTGTAACCCAGGGGTCAAGTGTCAGGAGCTACTCTGGAAATACATGTCCTTAAGTCCTGAGTAAGAGATACCAAACAATTATTGCTTCTTGCAATAACTTGTGCTTTATGTCCGTTCAGATAATGAGGCCTGGCCCTAGGAGTAGGTATTACCCGGTGGGTGGGGTTGAGTTACACTTACCTATTCCTTTGTAATCCTACCCCTTACCCTTTTTTGGATAGAATGTTCTAAGAAACAGTGTCCCCCAAGAAAAATCAGCTCCAGAATAGCGCTCTCTCTCTCTCTCTCTCTCTCTCTCTCTCTCTCTCTCTCTCTCTCCAGCCTCTCGTGACTTTCTCTTGCCCCTCTGTGGGACCCTGAGGCCAGGAGCTGGGTAAGCCATCCTGAAGCTTATAAAAAGGTATTCCGTGTCTGCATGGTATTTTGTGTCACCCCAACTTCACATGAGTGACTTTGGTTCAGTTGCTCTCACTGGACACTGGACAAGGGCATCAGAATCAAGGTTTGGGCATTGTTAACCCAAACATCTTTGCATTCCTCACTTATCCAACTGCCAGACAATGTGGCTAGGAGCTCATTTGTGGTAGTAGCTCTCAGCGTCCATTCTTCTAGTGTAGTGTAGGATCCACTGAGGAGTGCTGACAGATTGTAAATTCCTGTAGTGGAAGTGGTGCTACTTACCCCAACATGGAATGAAACTGAAGAACTTTATGAAGAGGGAAGTAGCCACACAGAAAGATCTTCATTACATGATTTCACTTACATGTGGAGTCTTAGAAAACAAAGTATACACCTAAAACTCAGAATAAGTGTAGAATGGTGGTTATTGGGGGCTGGGATGTGAGAGAAAAGGCGAGATGTTTGTTCAAGGGTACAGATGATACTGCCGGTTATCGGTGACCAGTTCTGCTCCCCCATATGTTGAAGTATAACATTAGAGGCAAGCACATAAAGCAGGGTTTATTTAAAAAAGAAGTAACAGACTTCTTCTGGGAGGGAGAAGGGGGCCATAGCTGGTATCCTGATCTCCCAAGAAATGAGGGGTGTTTTGCCTTTTTATATGTCCTGGGCTTCCTTTGTTCTCCGGCTCTCTTCCCCTTATCTCTCCTTCTTGTGTATGTGACTAGGCGGGGGCGGGGGCGGGGGGGGGGGGGAGATGCTCAGTGGGATGGCAAAAGGTGAGAAGTAGATGGACAGGGAAGGGCTGGATGGAGCAGCCCAGGACACATTAATTAACAACTCTATGACTCCCTATAGGGAGTGAAAGTTCTTGGGAGAGGTTACCCTAGCAACAGATTGGAGCAGAGGCAGGTTATCTTTGATAGGGTGTTGGAAAGACTCTGAAGCCATTTCAGTCTCTCAGGGGACAGTCTCCAACCTCCTGGACTCACTCAAATTGGTCTCCTTGATCTGACCTGTTTAAACTGACTGCCTGTCTAAATCTGGCTTCACAAACCTTCAGTTACTATGTGAATAAGCACTGGAGACCTAAGGCTTATCCACATAGTGGTGACTATAGTAAATAATAATGCATTTTATACCTGAAGTTTACTAATGTGTTTTCATCACACACATATAAAAATGTTAACACTTAGCCAATGCATATATTAATTAACTTGGCTGTGGTAATCAATTTGCAAGGTCTACATAAATCAAAATACCACATTTTACACTCTAAATATACATACCTTTTATTTTTCAATGGTACCCCAATAAAGCCATTAATAAAAAGAAAACCATGGGTTGAGAAATAGCATAAGGGAAAGAAGGAATGAATTAAGCAATCATGGCCCACTGGATAGCAACAGAATCCTTGTGCATTTTGCACAAAGCTGCAGTCTGTACTCTATGAATTGCTGCTGGGTGAGAGAAATTGCTATGCTGGATGGCCTGATGCTGCCTCCCTGGTACTCACTCTCTTGCTGTGTTAGTGATACCTGTGGCCTCAACCTATGAGTGTTAAGATCATCTGGGGGCACTTTTTAAAATATAGACTTCCAATACATAATTATCATGGGCTTACTCAATCAAAATCTCTATAATACGAGCACTGCTAATGACCCAGAAGAAATCAGTTGCATTTTGGTGCCAAAGTGGATAAGCAATGGGGACTGACGAATTGTTCAAACTTCAGAAATTGAACAAGATTCAAATTTGACTCTTAAGTTTATTAGTTATGGTGCACTGCAAATGTCTGACTTCATTTCCTTTCATGTAAAATAGGACACATAATTTCCCTAAATGCATTGATGTGAAGATTAATTATAGTGTAGATATCAATTGTCTGAGTCAGGCATGGCAGATCATAGACCATCCATAATGACAGCCATAGTTGACATCATATTTGTGAACAAAATTCAGAAATATTTGAAGATTCTTGTGGCACAATAAAGTATAACAAATATGGCACAATAAAGTATAACAAATATAAGAATAATCTGTAACAGTCTGAATCATCCCAAACATGTAGTTCAAATGCTGATCTTTTTCAGCTAATGTTTGCATTTTCTTTCCTATTTCTAGTTGTCAAAAGTCTATGGCCCTGTGTTCACTGTGTATTTGGGTTTGAGACCCACTGTGGTGTTGCATGGATATGAAGCTGTGAAGGAAGCCCTGATTGATCATGGGGAAATATTTTCTGGAAGAGGCAATTTCCCTGTGGCTGATAGAGTTACTAAAGGACTTGGTAAGTGTGCATGTATGTGAGGTGGGTGAGCAATGGTCATGGGGAGGAGAAGAATGAAAAAGAGAAAGCCAGATTGAGCTTGACCATCTCTGTGGCTCACTCATCAACTTTCAGTACGTTGCCTGGGATATCCTCCTAGATTCTGCTCTCCCTCATTTAGGAATCATTTTAACTACTGGAAGCAGATGGAAAGTGATGAGGCGCTTCTCAGTCATGACTCTGCGGAATTTTGGGATGGGGAAGAAGAGCATTGAGGACCGAGTTCAAGAGGAAGCTCGTTGCCTTATGGAGGAGTTGAGGAAAACCGAGTGTGAGTGATTCATTATATCATTGTCCTTAACAGACTGCTCTTTTCTGTGTCTAGTGACTGCATTTCAGCAACAGCCAGATCTTTAATTATGGGTCCTTTTAGTCCTTATATGGAGGAGGTATGATTCAAAGCAGAGAGCCAAAGTTTGTGTATCTGTGCTGCCCAATCACAGGCATGACTGGGTATGCATGGTGGGTGTAAAAGATAATATAATCCTATGCTGACAAGTTTTATTTCTGTTTTCAAATCATTGCATCATGAAGACACAAGGTGTAGAGTTCCTTTTTCTTCAAGAGTTAAAGAGCAGGGTTTCCCCGTGGCACATTTGTGAGTTTCCCACTCCATGGCCTTCACCATTGTCTACTGGACACCATGGAAATATCCACCTTGGACTCTGCAGAGCTGAAGCAAGTGATGTGTACTTTCACTTAATTGGACTGTGGTTGTCCAGTCACTTTTGTTATCTGTCTTCTCTCAAGGTTTCTTCCCAGGACAGTACCTAGTAACTATACTAATCTATGGTTTTTCATTGATTTGCATATCTCCTGGAAAGTGTCAAATATTCTTATGGGAATCACTTATCTCTACTGACCCAAGATGTTTTTTTTCAGTGTCTTTGATTTTCATCTTGCATCCAGATTGCTCTGTTTTTAAACTTGTCTTCCAAATTAACAAAAAAAAAAAAAAAAAAAGGGAAAGACTAAGAATCAGACGTTACCAATGAATGACACACACCTAGAAACTCCCTGGCTTCCCTAATTACCCTCTAACTCCATAGATAATATAAACGTTTGTTATGAGAGCTTAGAACCCTAGAATATTTACAGAGTCTGGTGGAGGAGAAGATAACTCGAAAGCTTTGCTTTTACCCAATGCTCTATGCTTTCTTTGCATCAGTTTTTCATTTGTTTATTTCTAAATTATCCTATTGTATTTTTTACTGACATTTAATCAGTCCATATTAATGAGGTCCCTATGGTACTCATACACAAGCGTACAGCATGTACAGTTAAAAGCCATCCTCTCCATCTCTCTATCCTCCTCACTGCCAGCGCACACTGTTCCCCATTTGCAGTAATCGCAATTTTACCTTCAGGTTCACATTCATTTTAGCTTCCACACATGAGAGAGACCTTGCAATACTTTAATGTTTCTGACCTCTTCTGTCTCTCTTGCATTAAAATGACAAGATTTCATTCTTCTTTATGATCGATATAAATACATTGTGTATGTAACAGAGCATCTTTATCCACTATTCTGTGGATAAGCACATGATTTAATATGATATCTTAATTATTATGAATAGTGTCATAGTTATCCTGAACATTGCAGGAATCTATGTTGTATATTGATTTCATTTCTTTCATCTGGGTATCAGAAGCAGGACACCTGAATCATATGGAAGATGTCTTTATTTTTGAGAAAATTGTATCCTGTTTTCCTTAGCATGAGTGTCCTAATGTACATTCCCACCAAGAGGCATAGGGTGTCCTTCTTCTGCATACCTCTCCAAAATTTGTTATTTGTTGTTGTTGGTGGTGGTAATTTGGGTTTCTTATTTTTGTTTTTGTGTTTTGACAACAGCCATTCTAATTGTGGCAAAATAATTCCTTATGGTAGTTTTGATTTACATTTGCCTAATGGTTCATTAAAATGGCATTTAAAAATATATTTATTGCTCAGTTTTATTTCTTCTTTTGAGAAGTGCCTATTAAGATCATTTGCCCATTTTTAACTGTATTACTTAGGATTTGTTGTTTTTTGTTCCTTAGGTATTGTAGATTTTAATCCTTTTTGACACAAGTGGCAAATATTATCTCTCATTCTGTAGACTATCTCTTCACTCTATTGACTGTTGTGTATGAGCTTTTCATTTTGAAGTAATCTACTTGCCTGTTTTTGCTTTTAGGGCCATATAGAAAAAAATCATAACTTGTATCCATCTTGAGGTGTTTCCCCTATGTTTTCGTCTAGTTCATTTAGGGATTCAGTTCTTACAGGAAGGTCTCTGAGCCATTTTGAGTTGAATTTTGTACAGGTGAGAAATGAGGGTCAAGTTGGAATCTTCTTCATGCTCCATTTATTGAAGAGGCTCTTTTTTCTCCACCATAAGTTTTGGAACTTTGTTGAGAATCAGTGGACTGTGGATGCTTGGTTCCCCGCTCCTACATCCCCCATCGCCCCAAGATCTCCATTCTCTCCCATTGTTCTTTTTGTCTGTTTTTATGCCAGTGCCATGCTCTTTTGCTTACTGTGGCTCTGTAGTTTGGCTTGAAATCAGGAATCCTTCTGCCTCCAGCTTTTCCCCTTTGCTCAACATTGTCTTGACCTATTTAGATTTTTCTTTTTGTACTTCTACATGGATTTTAGGTATGTTTTTTTCTAGTTCTGTGAAGAATATCTTTGGTATTATCTCATGGGAATTGAATTAAGCCTGCAAATTGATTTGGATAGCATGACCCTTTTAACAATGTTAATCTTCCAGTTTCTGAGCATGGGAGGCGTCTTCATTTTTTGGTATCCTCTTCAATTACTTTCATCAGTGTTTTGTAATTATCATTGTAGATGTCTTTTGCTTCCTTGGTTAATTTTTTTTTATCAAGTAAATTAATTAAATATAAAATTTACCTGTTTTTTTGGGGGGGATATTTTTAGTTGTAGATGGACACAATAACTTTATTTAATTTACCTCTTTGTGTTGCTGAGGATCGAACCCAGTGCCTCACATGTGCTAGGCAAGTGCTCTACTACTCAGCCACAACCCCATCCCTAAAACTTACCTGTTTTATCAAGTAAACTGTAACTAAAAATATAGTTGTGAGTTTGGATACTTTTTTTCTTAACAAATGATATGTGCTGATCACCTAATTGTCATTTCATTTTTATAGATTCCTAAAAAAAATGAAAATCTTGTCATATGTTAATTTCTTTACCTATAAAATTGCAGCATTGACTAGATGTCCAGCATTCAAATTTACTAAAATATATTATGCTGGTGGCTATATGATTCAGAGAAATGTTCCAGAAGTTCACAGGGGGGCAGTATTGCCAAATATATTAAATTTTGAGGCATTTAAAGGTGATGGGCTATATTTCCTAAAGTGGCAAATTTTCTTTTAGTGTTTCTCTCTTACGCTCTTTCTAATGAAGAAATAAACAGATTACATTTATAAATTTAACCTTTGTGTCACCTTGAATTTACTTTAAAATAAAAATTTCTCACCTTTATTGAGAAATTGTTTATGTATGTTTGCCTTTCTTCTTCTTAAAATATGAAGGTTTTCTGCTTATATCCATTTTTCCCACAAATATACAAATTTGTACAGTTACTATCTATTAGTCTTTAACTCTGCAGTTTTTACACATGAATCTTTCAGTGATATAAAATCAATGTCCCTGACTTCTTTTCCTTTTTATATAATTCCTAATTATCTACAGGTTTGATGACAAATATGATTCTGCACTGAAATTGAATAAACAAGTGTTTTTAAGTGATCTTTTAAAATGTTTTCTAAGTGTCACTTTGGGTTAGGATGGCTTAAAAAGGCAGTGGAATTGATTGGAGCATTAGGAAAACCATTATTAAACTGGCTACCAGGTAAAAGTCAATTCGAGTTTAAGGTAAAAGTGAATGATTTTTAGCGTGGTGAATATTTTTCATATCAAAGTAATTCATAGACAGATATTGATTAGCTTTTCTACAATTACCTTTCCCTGTTATTTCAAAGAGAAATACATTTGTATGTATACTTTAATATTAATTTTTAATGTTTCCACTTCTTCAGCCTCACCCTGTGATCCTACTTTTCTCCTGGGCTGTGCTCCCTGCAATGTGATCTGCTCCATTATTTTCAATTATCGCTTTAATTATAAAGATCAGCATTTTCTAAAGTTTATGAGGAAAGTAAATGAAAATGTGCAGATTCTGAGTTCCCCATGGATCCAGGTAAGACAAAATCCCACCTTCTTTTCTTGAGAAATTATATGATCTTTATTCTGACAAGTTAAAATTTCTAGTGCTCCAAGCAGTAAAGTGAGTCTAGATACAACAGTCTGACCCAGAGTATCAGGAAAATATGTCTGAGTCTTTTAGTTTATACACAGGAAAATAAATGCCCACATGTAGAGATGACAGGCAAGACCACTGGCTCTCTGGCCAGTTTGTTTCCCAGTATCCCCCAAAGCCTAATCTTTATAAAGGACTTTGGTAACTGCATTTGAGCAAGATTAAGGTTATCAGGCCCCAATGGAGGACTCATCACTCACAAGGGCTGCACTCCAATCACCACTTAGAAATTTCATCACTTTAATTGGCAGAAATACAGTTATCTGATATTTGACAAAGTTTTCAAAAAACATATGTTGGAGAAAAAAAATGCCTTTTTAACAAATGGTGTCAGGGAAACTAGAAATCTATATGTGGTGGAATGAAATTGAATCCCTATAGCTCACCTTGCACAAAACTTAACTCAAAGTGGATCAAAGACCTAGGAATTAGACCAGAAAATCACCTGCTAGAAGAAGATGTTGGCTCACACTTCAACATGTTAGTTCAGGAACTGACTTCATTAACAAGACTCCTAAAGTGCAAATAAGAAAATAAAAATCTTTGCCATCTTCTCTTTAGATAAGGCATTGATATCCAGGATATACAAAGAACTTATAAAAATTAACACCAAAATACCAAATAACCCAATCAATAAATGGCAAAGGAACTAAACAGACACTTCTGAAAGAAAGAAATATGAATGGTCAACAAATATATGGAAAAATGTTTAACGTCCCTAGCATTAAGAGAAAGGCAAATTTAAACTACACTGAGATTTCATCTCATTGCAGGCAGAATGGCAATGATCAAGAATACAAATAACAATAAATGTTGGTGAGGATGTGGGGGAAATGTATATTCACACATCGTTGATGGGACTGGAAATTGGTGCAATTACTCTGGAAAGCAGTATAGAGATTACTCAGAAAACTATGAATGGAACAACCATTTGACCCAATTATCTCACTCCTCCATATATACCTCCAAAGGATTTTAAATCAGCGTATTACAGTGATGCAGCCACTTCAATGTTTATTACAGCACAATTCACAATAGCTAATCTGTGGAGACAACCCAGGTGCCCTTCAACAGATACATGATTAAAGAAAATGTGGTGTATATAAACAGTGGAACATTACTCAGCATAAAGAAGAATGTCATTATGGTACTTTCTGGTAAATGAATGGATCTGGAGAATATCAAACTAAGTGAAATAAGCCCGTCCCACAGAACCAAAGGATAAACGTTTTCTCTGATATACAGAGGCTAATCCAAAATAAGGAGAGGAAGATAAAAAAGAATAGAAGAAAGATCAGTGGAATAGACAAAAGAGAATGAAAGGAAGGGAGGATGGAAGGGATAGTGAAAGATGATGAGATGAATCTGTCCTAACATTCCTATAAATGCAATATAAATATACCACGGTGAATCTCACCATCATGTACACATACAAGACACTAATCTAAAAGAAACTATATGTAAACAGTAGAAAGATCAGAATAGTAGAGGAAAGGGAACAGTGGGGGAGGAAGTGAGGAGTAGAAGTGCTGCAGATGGAATAGAATAAATTTTATTCCACGATTTTATAAGTTTGTCAAAATGAATACTAACGTCATGTTTAACTAAAAAGAACTGATAAAAAAATCAATTGCAGACACACACACACACAATATCTTCATATTAATGAGGGCGAATAGGAGCATAAATGCTGTAAGGAAACTGAACTGGGTAGAGATTTTTTGATTCTTTTTTTGTCAGCTTTTTCACACCAGTGACCAAAAGCCCTGAAAAGAACAATTTAGAGATGGAAGTTTCTTTGGAGCTCACGATTTTAGACGTCTCAGTCCATAGATGACTGGTTCCATTCTTTGGGGCTTGAGGTGAGCAGAACATAATGGCAGAAGGGTGTGGACGAGAAAAGCAGCTCAGGACATTGGACAAAATACATACACCAAAGACCCTCCCGCAGTGACCCAGCTCCTCCATCCACAACCTGCCTAGAGTTACCACCAAGTTGATCCCTATCAGTGAACGAATACACTGATTACATTAAGGCTCTTATAAATATTTTCACTTCTAAACCCTGTTGAATTTTCTCATGTATGATCTCTTGGGGGACACCTCTCCTAAACCACAACAGTGCTTCATATGGCATCCCCCTGACAAGGTAGTAGTGTTAGGCGAACTAAATAATTGCATTTCAGGGTGTACGACCCTGTACAAACAGATTTACCTCTGCTTAGCTGAGAGGTTCTGCATTCTTTATAAAAGTCAATTGTGAGATCTTTAGAAACCTCCTAACTACTCTTATGCACATTTCCTTCATCTATAGAATGCCCAAATGCATTTCATTGTATTTTCAATATCTTTCCTACTTTATAGTAAGTACTCTATTTATGAGGCTGCTTCACATAAGGAAAATCTGAGAACAATAATTATAAACCATGGAAAATAATATGGTCTAATTCAGTCCCCACCACTTCCCCTTTTCCTCCTCCTGTTCTCTTCCCTCTACCCTACTGAGCACAATTCATAATTACCCTGCATTTTATTCTTTCTCCGGTTACCCCAACTCCCTTAAGCTCTGTTCTCATCTACAACACATCAATCATCGTAATTCATGCCAATCTCTATGGCCAGATTGTAGGAAAAAATTGGTTTAAAAAGGGGGAGAATATGTAAACTTATTTTTAAAAAATTTATTCTGATTTGTTATACATGATGGCAGAATGCAATTTATTTCATATTACACATATAGAGCACAATTTTTCAAGAAACTGATTGTACACAGAATATTTTCAGACCATTTGTGTCTTATACATGTACTTAGGGTAATTATGTCTAACTCATTTCTACCCCCTTGCCTCCTCCCTTTCTCTCCCTCCCCTTTGCCCTATCTAAAGTTCCTCCATTCCTCCCATGCTACCTGCTCCATCGCCATTATGAGTCAGCATTCTCATATCAAAGAAAACATTTGGCCTTTAGTTTTTTGGGATTGGCTTGCTTTAATAGCATTATATTCTCCAACTTCATCCATTTACCTGCAAATGCCATGATTTTATTCTCTTTTAATGCTGAGTAATGTTCCACTGTGTGTTTATACCAAAGTTTCCCTATTCATTCATCTACTGAAGGGCATCTAGGTCAGTTCCATAATTTAGCTACTGTGAATTGTGTTGCTACAAACATTCATATGGCTTTGTTCCTATAGTATGCTGTTTTTAAGTCCTTTAGGTGTAAACCAAGGAGAGGGATAGCTGGGTCAAATGGTGGTTCCATTCCTAGTTTTCCAAGGAATCTCCATACTGCTCTCCATATTGGCTGCACCAATTTGCAGTCCCACCAGCAATATATGAGTGTACCTTTTTCTCCACATCCTTGCCAACACTTATTTGTATTCTTGATAGCTGCCATTCTGACTGGAGTGAGATGAAATCTTAGAGTAGTTTTGATGTGCATTTCTCTAATTGCTAGAGATATTGAACATGTTTTCATGTGTTTGTTAATTGATTGTATATCCTCTTTCAAGAAGTGTCTGTTCAGTTTCTTGGCCCATTTATTGATTGGGTTATTTTTTTAATGGTGTTAAGGATTTTGAGTGCTTTATATATCCTAGAGATTAGTGCTCTATTTGATGTGCTTGTGATAAAGATTTGTTCCCATTCTATAGGCTCTCTATTCACCTCATTGATTGTTTCTTTTGCTGAGAAGAAGCTTTTTAGTTTGAATCAATTCCCATTTATTGATTCTTGGTTTTTATTCTTGTGCTACAGGAGTTTTATTAAGAAAGTTGGGGCCTAAACCAATATGATGGAGATTTGAGCCTACTTTTTCTTCCTTTAGGTGCAAGGTCTCTGGTTTAATTTTTAGGTTCTTGATTCACTTTGAGTTTTGTGCATGGTTAGAGAGGTTTAATTTCATTTTGTTACATGTGGATTTTCAGCGACATTTGTTGAAGAGGCTATCTTTTCTTCATTGTATGTTTTCGATGCCTTTGTCTAATATAAGATAACTGAAGTTATGTGGGTTAGACTCTGATTTTTCTATTCTGTACCATTGGTCTACAGGTCTATTTTGGTGCCATTACCATGCTATTTTAGTTACTATTAGGAATAGTAATGCCACCAGCTTCATTCTTCTTGCTAAGGATTGCTTTGGCTATTCTGGGTCTCTTATTTTTTCAGATGAATTTCATGATTGCTTTCTCTATTTTTATAAGTTATGCCATTGGGATTTTGATTGGGATTGCATTGAATCTGTATAGTGCTTTTGGTAGTATAGTCATTTTGACAATATTAATTCTGCCTATCAAAAAACAAGGTATATCTTTCCATCTTCTAAGGTCTTCTTTAATCTTTTTTCTTTAGCGTTTTGTAGTTTTCATTGTTTGGGGCATATATATTTATAACTGTTATGTCCTGTTGATGTATGGTTCCCTTAAGCAGTATGAAACGTTCATTTTTATCCCTTTTGATTAACCTTGGCTTGAAGTCTGCTTTATTTTATATGAAGATGAAAACCCCTGCTTGCCTACATAGGCCATGTGAATGGTATATTTTATCCCAACCTTTTACCTTCAGTCTGTGGGTGTTTTTTCCTATGAGATGAGTCTCTTGAAGGCAGCATGTTGTTTTTTTTTTTGTATCCAATCTACCAGCCTATGTCTCTTGATTGGTGAGTTTAAGCCATTTAGGGTTATTGTTGAGATATTATTTGTATTTTTGGTCATTTTTGTTTATTTTTGGTATTTAGCTTTACTTGGTTTCTCATTTGGTTGGCTTTTCTTTTATTGTAGTCCTTCCCTTTGCAGATTTTCATTGTTGTTTTTCATTTTCTTCTCATTGAATATTTTGCCAAGAATGCTCTCTAGTGCAGGCTTTCTTGCTGTAAATTCTTTTAGCTTTTATTTATCATGGAAGGTTTTTATTTCATCTTCAAATTTGAAGCTTAATTTTGCTGCATATAAGATTCTTGGTTGGCTTCCATTATCTTTTAGAGCTTGGTATATATTTTTCCAGGATCTTCTAGCTTTTAGAGTCTGGGTTGAAAAATCTGCAGAGATTCGAATGGATCTTCTCTTATAGGTAATCTGATTTTTGCTCTTGTGGCCTTTAAAATTCTATCCTTATTCTGTATGCTAGGCATTTTCATTATAATGTGTCTTGGTGTAGATATGTTGTAATTTTGTACATTTGGTGTCCTATAGGCCTCTTGTATTTGATTTTCCAATTCATTCTTCATGCTTGGGAAATTTTCTGATATTAATTCATTGAAGAGATTGTGCATTCCTTTGGTTTGAATCTCTGAACCTTCCTTTATCCCAATAAATCTTAAATTTGGTCTTTTGTTAGTATCCCATAATTTTCGGATATTCTGTTGATGTTTTCTTACCATCTTCACTGTGAGGCCAACTTTATTTTCAAGATTGTATATTTTGTCTTCATTATCTGAGGTCTTGTCTTCCAAGTGGTCTAGTCTGTTGGTGATGCTATCAATTGAAGTTTTTAATTGGCTTATTGTTCCTTTCATTTCGAGGATTTCTATGTTTTTTTTTTCAGTATCTCTATCTCTTTCTTGAAGTAATCTCTTTCAACCTGTATTTGCTCTTTTATCTCTTTTTTGGTGTGATTGATGGGCATCTGAATTTGTTCTCTTATCTCTTTGTTGGAGTGATTGATTTTTGCCTGTATCTGCTCACTTAGGTTGTTTTTTAATTCCCAAATCATTTTAATTATGTGTATTATGAACTCCTTTTCTGACATTTCACTTACTTGACTATATATGGATTCTGTTGTTGTAGTTTCTTGGTTTGTTTGGGGCACTTTTCTCCCTTGTTTTTTCATGATGTCTATGTGTCTTTCTCTCTTGCAGTGTAGATCTGAGGTATTACATCTTCTGCCTTACTGTGTTATAGTGTGCCTACAGATTACTAGTGCTTCACTTTTAAGGGAGAGATCAATATTATAGCACTCAATGTACCCAATGTGCAGCCATATATCAGTTAGCTCCTATTTTTACATTTACAGTTTTGTCACTATAAATAGAAATGATGAGTTTGGTTATCTTCAACCGTATAGTCAATAGGTTTGCATAATGGTTTACAGTTTCTGATGGTGGAAGGGGTACTGGGGGATTGGCTGAGATGTTTATGAGGTAGGATGTGAGAATATGGATGTATTGGATTATATGACTAGTGAGAGGATAAATAGGAAGTTGGCTGTTAGTAGGAGAAACAAGAGATAGACAACCCTATGCAAGACTCCCTGTTACCTTAGCAACAGAATAACTGCTAGCACCCCTAGTAGAGAAACCTCTGGTGCAGCCAGGCCACAGGGATGTTGGTGATATCTTACCAAGTCCTTATTGTTGTCTCTTGATAGAAGTGGTGATATCCCAGCTTTGGGGTGGTGGCAGCCTCAAGCCTGTATGTTTCCTGATGTTGGGCTGTGGGGCCACACTTTGGTGAATAAGGAACCCCAGCACGGGGTGACTCTCGTGTGTGTGTGTGTGTGGGGGGGTGGCTCTGTCCCTGAACTCCATGCTGCAGGTGTGGGATGAATGGGTGGGCTCTGCCCCGGAATTCCAGGCTGTAGTGGAACCCTTATCTTATCTCTAAAGATGATGTTTGAGTATAGAAAAGGGTTATCATTTCTAATCCTCTGGTCATAGTTCTCTCCATCAAATTTTTCTATAAGCTTGGGAATTATTATATACGTACAGTAAAACCTTCTCTTTTAAGGTGGACATCATTTGTTTTTAAAGCTATAGTTTCAATGATGGACTAGGAATAATATTTATGTGTCTTTATTACTTGCTTTTAGTTAATACCTATTTTTATTTTGCAGGTCTGCAACAATTTTCCTGTTCTCATTAATATTTTCTCAGGAAGTCATAAAAAACTTTTTAAGAATGTTAATGATTTGAAACAGTATTTTTTTGAGAAAATAAAAGAACATCAAGAATCCCTGGATATGAACAATCCTCGGGACTTCATCGACTGCTTCCTGATTAAAATGGAAGAGGTAGAACATGAATGACAACTCAGTTATCTAATTGCATCAGCATTTTGTGATTCACTGATTAATTCTATAATTACTAGTGATAGTTAAGTGGTGAGGCAAGACATTCTTGACAGGCCTTTGAAGCACATATTGCCTTTATGGTTTTGCATGAATTATCATAGAAATTGAATTGTTAAACAGCTGGAATACATGGATCCTGTTCTATAGATACTAACAATCTACCCGAGGAAAGACAAAATTCACATCTCAGATGAAAAGGGAATGGTTGTAAACAAGCTGCAAAATATAAAATTGGAGCCACAAAATGTAAATTGAAATTATTGTTTGTACTCAGTATACAGGAGAATGGGCAATTATCCAGTGGCCTGCATGTGTAATGGTTCCTCAGTGATCAAGACCAAGTGACCAAAACATCAAACACTGATTTTATAGGACAGGATTCCTGTTGCCCATTCTAAGACCAGGGAAGTGCAACAGGAATGTAGATCACTGTCCTCACAGCTGTCTGCAGTAGGTCCTGATTTATGGGGAATAGTAGCTGGTACATAAGACACTGAGATTTATGAAAACTTTTCTTTATCAAATATTTTTCCTGGATACAATTTTTTCAACTAGATTCCAGAGTTCCCAAACAGTTGCTTCAGAGAGTTTATATTAGGTTAATAGGGTTTTCTCTGAAAGGGCTTATACCTGGAACTTCCTACTCCACTATCTTTTTGAGTCATTACTCCTGTACTGTCATCTTTTTTTTTTTAGAAAAAGGTTTTTATTAATACATTAAAATTATTCATAATAGTGGGATATATTGTGATATAGTTCTATATGCACACAGAACAAATTTGTCAGTTTTTTCCCCCAAATTCCCATTTCCTTCCTTTTCTCCCTTCCCTATTCCCCTTCTCTATTGTTCTTGTTGTTTTTCCATTTTGATGAGGTCCCTTTACTTTATTTTTTCTCTAGATGCCACACATGAGAGAAAACATGTGACCCTTGAATTTCTTTTTTTGTGTGTGTGTGTGTGTGTGTGGCACTGGACGTTGTGCATGTGAGACAAGCACTCTACCAGCTGAGATATATCCCCAACCCATGACCCTTCACTTTCTGAGTCTGGTTTATCACACTTAGAATTATCTTCTCCAGTTCCATCAGTTTCCTTAGAAATGATATTTCATTTTTAAGATTCAGTAAAACTTCACTGTATGTCACATACCATGTTATTGTAATTTCTCTATCTGTTGAAGTTTTCATAACTTGGCTATTGTGAACTGTGCTGCATATATTACTAGAGTATGTGACTTTAATTATTTTGGATAAATAACCAGGAGTGGTATAACTTGGTCATTTTGTGGTTCCATTTTTACTTTTTTAAGAAATATTCAGACTAATTTTTATAGTGATTGTACTGATTTAGAATCCTACCAACAGTATAAAGTGTTTTTCCTTAAAATTATTGTTTTTTTCCATATATTTTTAATTGCTGCATTGTAGTTGTACATAATTTCAGGATTTGTTGTTACATATTCATACATGCACACAATATAACAATGTCATTTAGCCAATATTATTTCCCAGTATTTGCCCTTTCTCTCACCTCCTCATTTTTCCTGTTCCCTTTTTTCTACTCTACTGATTTACCATTGATCTTTTGTGATTTCCCCAACTTTCTTTTCCTTATTTAATACTTTAGGATAATTACTGAGGGTTGGTATAGCTGGGTCATACGATGGTTCCAGTATTAGTATTTGAGGAACCTTCATAATGATTTACATAGTGCTTGTATTAATTTTCAACTCCACCAACCGTGTAAAAGTGTTTTTTTTCCTCCACATCATCTTAGGCATTAATTATAGTTTGTGTTCTTGATGACCGCCATACTAATTGGAATAAGATGAAATTTCATTGCTTTGAATTTCCCTAATTGCTAACACTGTTGACTATTTTTTCATATATTTGTTGACTGTTCATATTTCTTCTTTTGAGAAGTGTGTTTTTAGTTCATTTGTGCACTTATTATTTAAGTTATTTGTGGGTTTTTTGGTGTTGTTTTTTGAGGTCTGTGTATTCTGCTTATTAATCCTCTACCAGAAGAATAGCTAGCAAAGTTTTCTTTCCCATTTTGTTGGTTGTCTCTTCATCCTCTTACTTATTTCCTTTGATGCCCTCTCATTTATTTATTTTTTATTTTATTTCCTGATTTTTAGGAGTCTTATTATAGAAGCCAATGCTTATATCTATCATTTGGAGTGTTGCCCTTCAGTTTTTTCCCCAGCAATTGCCGTGTTTCTTATCTAATTCCTAGGTCTTTGATCTACTTTGAGTTGATTATGAGAAGGGTGAGAGGGAGGAATGTAGTTTTCTTCATTTACATATGGACATCCAGTTTTCTCAGTGCCACTTGTTTAAACAAAACAAAACGGAACAAATATGACTTTTCTTCAATGTATATGTTTGGCGCCCTTTTCAAGGATTAGATCACTGTATCCATGTGGGTTTATCTTTATGATTTCGTTCCCATTAATCTACATGAAAGAATCAGGTAGTCTTTGTTGCCAGAGCACTATAATATAATTTGAGATTATGTACTGTGATGCCTCTGGCATTGCTCTTACTGCTCCATATTGCTTAAGCTATTCTGGGTCTTTTATTTTTCCAAATGAATTTTAGGACCTTTTCTTCCAGTTCTGTGAAGAATGGCATTGTCATCTTGATCAGGATTTCATTGAATCTATAGATTGCTGTGGTAATATGTTCATTTTGATAACGTTAGCTCTTTCTATTCAAGAACATGGGAAGTCTTCTTCTCTTCCTCCTAGGTCTTCTTCAGTTTCTTTCTTCATTGTTTTGTGATTTTAATCATAGATTTTTCATCTCCTCAGTTAGATTTTAGGATTTGGGTTTTTTAAGGCTATTATGAATGAAATTGTGGTCTTGATTTGTTTTTTAGTGGATTCATTATTGCTGTATGTAACAGTTATTGATTATTTTTAATATTTTGATCTTATAGCCCACTACTTTTCTTAACTGGTTTTCTGAAACAACCCTGGAAATCTTCTGGTGAAGTTATTTTGGGTTTTCCAGACTCATATCATTTGCAAACAGTGATATTTGACTTCTTTCTTTCCTATTTGTATCATGTTTATTTTTTTTCTCCTGCCTAATTGCTCTGACTAAAATATCAAGTACTTTTTTAAGTAGAAGAATTGACAGTGGACATCCTTGTCTTTTTCCTGAGTGTGGAGAAAAATGTTTTCAGGTTTTTTCCCATTCACTATATGATGGCTTGAGTTTCAACTTCCCTTATGATATTTAGGGAAGTTCTTACTATTCTTACTTTCTTCATCATTTTTTTAACATGAATAGGTGCTAGATTTTGCCACTAGCTTTTCCTGGATTTATTGAGAATGCCATGTGATTATGATTCCTTGATTCTGCTTATGTAATGGATTATGTTTACTGATTTGTAGGTATTGATCCACCCATTCTTGAATCCCTGGAATGAAACAAATTTGATCATCATGTACAATTTTTAAAATATGTTCTTTTCACATGTATAATCTTATTGTGCTTTCAAACATGATTTGCCAATATTTTACTAAAAATTTATTCATTTGTGTTTTATTTATTGGTTTCTAGTTTTCTTTCCATGATGTGTTTTTACCTGTTTGGGGGGTCACAGTGATATAGATTTCATAAAATTAAGTATGACTTACCCCCCTCCCATTCACACTTTCTATTTCATGGAATCATGTGCAGAAGAAGAGCAGCACTTGTTCTTCTTTAAAGGCCCGATAGAATTCAGATGAGAACCTATCTGTTCTGTTTTTTTTTCCTGGAAGATTTTTTAGCACTGCTTCAGTCTTGTTGTTTGTAATTGGTAAGATTAAGTTTTCTATGTCTTGGTTCAATTATTGCAGGTAGCATCTGGATATAAATTTGTCCATTTCATCTAGATTTTCCAATTTATTGGAATAGAAGTTTTAAAGGCAGTCCAAAATAATCCTCTGGATTTCAGAGATTCTCTGGAACTACCTCCTTTTTCATGTCTGATTTTGTTAAATTATATCTTCTCTCTTTTGTTTAGTTTGGCTATTTTATCAGTCTTGTTCGATCCTTTCAAAGAACCAAGTCTTTGTTTCATTGATCCTTTGTACTTTTTTGTTCTCTTCAGCTTGCTTCTTAATTATTTCATTCTTTCTATAATATTTGAGATTAGGTTGTTATAAATTTTCTAAAGCTTGGAGATGCATTATTAGGTATTTGGGCTATTTCAGATTTTTTAATGTATTCATCCATGGTTTATAAACTCTTGTCTAAGAACTGCTTTCCTAGGATTCCAGAGATTCTGGCATGTTGCATCTCTATTGATTGACACCAGGATATGCCAACATCTGGAGCAGCAGCCAAGCTTCCAGGGACCATGGATACAGCAGTCTCTCTATCTGCATCATTCTGCATATTGAAACATCTTTCCAGATATTCCATAAAATATCTTTATGCAAGCATGGTGCTGCCATGGTCTCCTCTCAAATGATTTTTTAGTTTTATACCCTTTAGTCTGAGATGGATGTGGTCTTGCCAATTCCTGAGAGGCCCTCCAACCATCTTTCCTATTGTGCCTTTTTAAAGTATAACATTATTTAGTAGCTGTAATGTTTTTAACAACCACAAATTCTGTATCCCAGTTTTACTTGGATTTTATGGCCAAACATCAATTTTTCAAATCTTTCTACTTTTATTTCTGCCTCTGGTTATCACAGTACAGTTGGCTAAAAGTCACTAGAAAGATCTATGACACAGGCTGAATGCTGTATTGCCTTGAAATTTCTTCTGCCAGATTAATTAGTCTAGCACTATTAAATTCAGCCTCACAGATAGTCTCAGGGTACTGGAAAAATGTAGAACATGCTGCAACATAACATGAATGCCCTCCAGTTCAATTTCCAAGAGTTCCCTTGTTTGAAACCAAGTGAGCCCAGTCTTAACTGTCCACAGTTGTGTCAGCCTTCTGGTTTCCTGAGTGTCCACCAGAATCACTCTTTAAGCTCCACTTACAACATTCTAACGCTTTTGCAGCTTGCATCTCTAAACTTCAAAATTCCTCCTTCATCAAATGAATCCCGAAGATTTATTAACCACATGGAAAGGTTAGACACAGCAATGGCCCCACTTCCAATACCATTTTTTTCTTTTAGTCAACTTTTTCTTTGTTGTGACCCCAGATCTGACAAGAACAACATAGAAGAGGAAACATTTATTTTGGCTCATTGTCACAGAGGTTCAATCTGTGTTTGCTGATTCCACATCCCTGGACACAAAGTGAGGCAAAACATCTTGTGTCTTTTACTCTGTTATTTTTTTTTTTTGCCAGTACTATGCTATTTCATTACTAAAACTCTGTAGTATAATTTCAGATCAGGTATTGAGATGCTTCCAGAATTGTTCTTATTCCTCAGTATTGCTTTGGATATTCTGGGTCTTTGGTTTCTCTGTATAAATTTTTAGGGCTGATTTTCCTATTTCTGTGAAGAATATCATTTGTATCTTGATGAGGATTGCATTAAATCTATAGGTGATTTTGGTATTATCGCCATTATATTAATATTAATTCTGCCTATTCAGAAACATGTGTGATTTTCCCATCTTCTTTGATTCTCTTCTATTTCTTTCTTTGGTATTCTATGATTTTCAGTGTAGATATCTGCACTTTCTTGGTTAGATTCATTCCTAGTAATGTTGCCATTTTGAGGCTATTTTGAATGGAATTGTTTTCCTGAATGCTTTCTCAGAAGATTCATTATTGGAATACAGGAAAGCAATTGATTTTTGTATGTTGATCTTGTATCCTGCTATATTCACGATTTTTAAAAAATTAGTTCTACATATCTGGGATTGAACTTAGGGGAACTTGACCACTAAGCCACATTTTGTATTTTAGTTAGAGACAAGGTCTCACTGAGTTGCTTAGTGCCTTGCTTTTGCTGAGGCTGGCTTTGAACTGGTGATCCTCCTGTTTCAGCCTGCAGAGCTGCTGGGATTACAGGTGTGCAGCAGCACCATGCCTCGCCTTGGGGAGGGGTAGTTCTAAGTATAGGATCATGTCATCTGAGCTTATTTTCTGCTCAGATGTGACTTTGTTGGACAATTGTGTCTGCTTTTCTTAAACTTAGTAGCAGATATTCATTTATCTAATGGGAAAGTAGCTTCATCTTCCCTACTGAGCCACCACTCACTGAATGGTATGGCTGTCTGTTGTTTTATTAATTCTCTTTCTACTATAGCACCTGATATTTTTGGTATTCACCTGTCTGCTGCCTTAATGAAAATTTCCCACAGTCTTCCGACCTCAGTTTTTCTCTGTAGAACTGATGTTTTAATTCATACTTGGGGAGCTGCTACTCTATTGTGGGTTCCTTTGGTCTTCCATTTTCCTTAATTGCAGTACTTCTATTTTAATGACACTAAATGTTTCACTGCCTATTGCACAATATATTCCTATTTGGGTCTTCTTTGAAATTTTGTTTGGGCAATCTTAGAAAACTAGGTAAAGTCAATATTACCTTATCCAGGAAATATGCCTGTTGAGATAGCTGTCTCTCTAAATGTTGCTTACATATTATTGAACATCCTATAGTCCACCTGGAGCTTATATAAGCCCCATTAAATAAATTCTCACCTATGAACTTGTTATAAAAATACATATTTTATATATGTAATTCATGTGTTAGGGTTATTTTATATTTTCAAATCTTTACTCAGTATTTAAAGTTAACCTTTGTTGATGTCAACTCTGTGGCAAGTAATACCCTCAGTCCAAAATCAAAATTAGTTGTTCTTATCGAGTACTTTCTATTTCTCAATTTCCAATGTATGAGAGCTCTATCGAGTCAGCCCCTTATCCTCAGAATCTGCATTATCTCTACTCTTTCCCTTAATTCTCAATGAACAGTTAATACCTAAACACTCTGTCTTTGTGTTTGTGGTGTCTTTTTCAATTTGTATCTTAAGAATAGGGTGAATTTCCTGGTGAATTTATTCTTATAATTTTTTCCTAAGTTATCTGTTGCCTCACATACGAAATATATTCTCTTTTTGTTTATTTTAGACTGTGCTGCCATATTATCTTTTGCATATTTTCCAGTTCCTAATGAGTGTGTGGGAAATCCTAATTCCAAGTAAATTCTTTATCAGAAGAAGAAAATTGCATGTTCTTGATTTATGTAATTTTATCTACTATGATGTGGCCGTAATTTACCTATTTGTATCAATTATTATCATCTTTATGTACAAATAAAGGAAAACCAATTACCAGAAATTTAAAAATTGTATTTAGTCATCTAACATATAAGGAAGACTTGTGGTGGGCTAGACTAGGTTTAGTACCATAGCCGAGAAACATCAGAGACTCAGGTGCCTTCCATTTTCCTGCACCATATGCTATGTGTTGCATGTGGTTTGTCCCCTCCAAAACTTATGTTGAAAGTTGTTTCTCAATGAAACAGTGTTGAGAGGTGCCAGGACAGAATAAATCTCTTTTCTTTGTAAATCACACAGTTTCTGGCAATCTGTTATAGCAACAGAAAATGAAATAACACATTGTACTTAATATACTAGCTTTTATCTTCATGATTAAATCTTGCAATCTCAAAATGATTTCTGTCTGGCCTACACTATGGGTCTATCATTTTATGTATATATATTATGTAGGAAGAAGGAAAGAGAAATTGCATCAACAGACTTTCCCTTGTATTTTATTGATAAGAAATATGATACATGTCCTTCCTAGTTGCAAAAGGATGGTGAATAGAATCTTTAGGCAACAAGGTGCAAACAGACATTTAGTCAATTTATCTATAGTTTACCATATCACACAGTAGCTTTTAATAATATTGTAGTCTTTTGATTCTCTGTTGGCCTAATTTTATAACCGTATGATTGTAAATTATTATAAATAAATTAATTGTGAAATAAATGCATTGAATTATTTATAGGAAAAGGGCAATCCACAGACTGAATTTACCACTGAAGCCTTAATAAACACTGTTAATGATCTGTTTGGAGCTGGAACAGAGACAACAAGCACTACTCTGAGATATGGACTCCTGCTCCTTCTGAAGCACCCAGAGGTCACAGGTATGACTGCAGATGGTGAGCAGGGTGAATTTTACAATAGAAACTTGGCAAGACACTGCTAGTGTCCTCCACCTTATTTCTCTTAAAGAAGTTTCCTTATTGAATGTGCTGTGTCACCAGAGTACAAATGCAAATTACTTCTTCTAAAGTGTGAGAAGAGGAATAGAGGAAACAGGCAACAAACCTTCAACAATTTTCTGAAGCACAGAGGGCGGAAGAAAGGAATACAACTTAGCAGAGAGTTTCAAACTGTAGCCTGTATGTCAGAAGAAGTTGTAATACTGTGGAAAAGCCAATCTGTGTACCTAAAAATATCCATAAGGTTCAGCATTTAGAAGCACCATATATCAAACAAATTAGAGAAAACTGAGGCAGAAAATAGGAGTCCCTCTATGTGCAGGTACCCTCTGCATCCCCTTGAGCAGTTAACTGTTTTCCTCTCATAGGAACAGAGGCTTACTCTTTAGAAAAACTGAAACTAAGGGGTCCTGTAATCAATTTTAGAACATCAAAATAAAGTTTAAAAAAAAATCACACAAACTTTTAGAAATATACCAGGTCTTATGTTAAGAAGAATGAATCAGAAGGGCATCAGAGTTCCAAAGAGCATCGATTATTTTGTGTGTTAATAGAAAATGTAAGAGCCGGGTGTGGTGGCACAAGACTATATTCCAACTATTGGGAGGTTGAAGCAGGAAGCTGAGTGGAAGTCAAGACTAGCCTGAGCCAGTCTGTCTCAAAATAAAACCAAAAGGATTTAGGTATGGCTCAGATGTAGAGGGCCTCTGGATCAATCCCCAGGACAAACCAAACCAAACCAAACCAAAAAACACCACCCAAAAGAAAAATCCATACTAACACAAAAGAACAACAACAACAAAAACCCATGTTTTTAAATCCATCTTTGGTACAAATTTATTCCCCTTTTTCATTTTCACAGGAAGATACTGAGCATATGCTCCATCCAAATATTTGCAATCAAGGCAGAGCCAGTCAGGGGTTTCAGGAATCAAGAGAATTTATGTATAAAGATGGGAGTTTAAGGGAGTGAGGGAGGGTCCTGAACACTAGGCCTAGGAAACAACCAATTGTCCACATGAAGTATAAAGCAGGTGTAATCAAAGATAAAGAAAATAAAAGAGAGAATCTAAAGTTTAAACATTTAGAAAATTATTTCTAGAAGTTTGAAACATCAATCTAAGCATTTATATATAAGATAATAACCAGAAAATTAGAATTGGCATAAGTTGTTCAAATATAAGTTAAACATATGCAATGAATGAAACATTAAACATTATTTATGTGGTCATAATGGTGTAAACACAGTATATTGATAAGATCAAAAATTGTGATCAAGATATAAGCAGTGGAGAGGGTAAGAATTTCAGGCATGTGGGTGTGCACATTTATTTGTGGTGTGTATTTTACAGGGAGTAGGAATGGAACTTAATCTTCCTTACCAGGAAATCATTAGAAATTTTCTAAAATTGGATAAATCAAGAAACGAAAATAGATAATTATTTAGGAATAGGAATATTCAGAAGATTTCTAGAATGACTCAAAATGGCTATCTTTAAGGAATGAGAGATTGGAAAGGGTTCCACTGAAAACCACACATGCACTCATACACAAAAAAACACACACGTTCACGCGTAGGCATGCAATCATATAGATCCATTAGTAGAATTTAATTTTATAATGTCATGTTATTTTGGTATAAAATTAATATTTTTTCTGTTTTTCTTTCTGAAGTGACAATTCTTTAATTAGTTATGTGATGACTTGATATTTTGAAACACTTATCATTTATAATTATATTTGATATATATGCTAATATGTGAGGCTTATATAAGTTTGTAGATATATTTTAATACCTAGCTTATAGGAGAGTCTTAAATGCATATGACTAATAGTATATGTATGTATGTATTTATCTATGTTTAACAGTATTTGTTGATAGATATTGATAAGTAGATATAGATAGTATCTTGGTGATCATTTCTTACGTACAGAAGTATTTATTGCATATAAGTCATGTTTCTAGTACCTCCTGGATACTCATTAATGCTTCATATAACCCTAAAATATTTAAGAATTATACTATTTTTCTCTTTTTCATAAGTTCTCATTTGTATCTTATCAGCTAAAGTCCAGGAAGAGATTGACCATGTGATTGGCAGACATCGCAGCCCCTGCATGCAGGACAAGAGCAGTATGCCTTATACAGAGGCTGTCCTGCATGAGATCCAGAGATACATTGACCTCCTGCCAACCAATCTTCCCCATGCAGTGACCTGTGGCATTAAATTCAGAAACTATTTCATTCCCAAGGTATTATTTCTCCCACATTGCACTTCAGTGCTCTTGAAGTTCCCAACTTAGCAGAATGGTCCCAATCCTCTGCCAGAACAAGATGAGAGAAGTACAAAACTCACCCATGCAGCACCTTGATGGACTCACTGCTGGGTCAGATTAGGTCATGAAGCTCCCTAACTGTTCCTGACATCCAGCAGGGTGAACTCTCCCAATTTCTTCTGCTCCTTCCAGTTTGCTTTGTCTACTCTCAGCTGTTTACATTTCCAAACAAATTTCAGAATCAGTCTGTTAATTTTCTAAAACACTCTCATGGGATATTTTTCAGCATAATATGAAATCGAAAGATCAGCTTGGAAAGAATTGACATCTTGATATGTAGAAATATTTCAGTTATTGCACATTGTGTATGTTCTCATTTGGATTTTGTTTATTTTTTTTTCAATAATGTTTTATTTTCATTGGAGTGGTTTCCACACTTTTTGAAAGAATTTTTAATTAAGTAATTAACATTTTGAAAGCTAATATGAATTGTACAATTTAAATAATGCCTTTTCCATTTTGCTGTTCTTGGCATAATAACATATAGTTACAGTTTTACTTTGATGACTTTATATCTAGAATTCTTATTAACTTTGTTAATCATTGATAATAATTTGTGTTTAGATTCATTTGCAATGTCTTATGTACATTTCCTTGCTATCTGGTTAGTGTTGGTTTTATTACTATATTCAATTCTAGTGAGCTTAGTTTTTCTTCTTACGTAATTGTACTGGCTGAAATTTCTAGCACAGGGTTGAATAGAAGTGGTGTGTTGAGCAAGCTTTTAATTTTTTGGCATATAATAATTACACAGAATAATAGTACATTTCATTGTGGCCAATTCATAATGCACATAACATAATTTGATCAATTTCATTCCCCAGTATCTTCTTTTGTCCTCCTGTACTCCTCCTCCTCTTGATCCTCTCACTAGACTATACTGGTCTCCCTTTAATGTGTCTTTTTAATATATCTCTCTTTTTAATTTTAATGTATCTCTCTTTCTTTCTTTTTTTAATGCAGCAGGACCTGTTTTAGATTCATTTTCATTTACATGTATTAGTAGTTCATTCCCCTTTATTACTGAATAGTATTCCTTCCATTACAAAGAATACCATGAATTTATTCTCTACTCTGAGTGAGATGGAAATTTTTGGTTCTTTCTTGCTTTTGGCTTTTAAAATATAAATAATATGAACATTTGTGTAAAAATGTTGAGGTGGACTATATTTACTTTTCTATTAAGTAAATACCTAAGACTGAGATTATTGCATAATTTCTTAACTTTATGCTAAACTGACAGACTCAATTCAATATTTTATTTTATAATTTGTGCTTTATTTCCTATGTAAAAAATATTTACTAGTACAAGATTGCATAATTTGTCTTTATATTTTTCTAGAATTTTAATAGTTTTAGCTCCTACATTTAAATTGGTGATTCATTTCAAGTTAATTATTTGTGGTATGAAATAATGGTCATGCAATTCATTCCTTTCCTTTCCTTTTCTTGAGTCAAGATTTCTCTATGTTTCACAAGCTGGCTCCAAAGTCTTGGGTTCAATGCAATCCTGATGCCTTAGCCTCCTTTGCAGTTGAGGCTACAAGTATATGCCATCATGCCAAGCCTATGTGTTTCTCAAAAGTGTCCAGTCACTCTAGTACAATTTTTTTTTGAAAATATATCCTTCTATCTTCAAGAAATATTTGTATCTTCAGGAACCATTATATGATCCAATATACCACTCCTCTGCATTTATCCTAAAGACTTAAAGTGAGCATACTAATGTGATACATGCATTGCCATGGCCATGATCATAGCAGCATAATTCATTACAGTCTATATATGGAACCATCTTGAATATCAATCAACAGATAAATTAATAAAGAAAATGTGGTATACGTATATATACAACGGAGTTTTGTTCAACCATAAAAAATGAAACTATGTCATATCCAGGAAAAGAGATGGACTTTTCCTGGATATGACATAGTTATATGCATAATGCAGGATGAGAGTGTTATGTTAAGCAAATTAGCCAAACTCAGAAAGTCAAGGGACATATTTTTACTGTTACATGAAGAAGTTAGAAAAAATTCATAAAGAATGATCAGTGGAGAAGACAAAAGGGACCAGGGGGAGTTAGGAGGTGAGGAAAGAAGAAGGTGATTAGGGAATGATACTGACCAAATTATAGTGTTATATTATATGCAAGCATGAATGTAAAACAAAAAATCCTACCATTATGTATAATTGTAATGTACCAAAAATGTGAAAAAAATAAACATTTTTCACATTCTTATTTAAAACAAAAATGGAATATTAAAAAAAATCTTTAGCATTAATTTGTGATCTTCAACATTTCACATTACTATGGAGAATCAAATTTTGTGACAATGATAAATATTCAGTTAGTTTTTGGTGTACATTTGATTATTCCAGAAAGGTCTTATAAACAATATCCTGGACATTTCAAGAGCTGACAAAGACCCATTTTAAAGCAGAATCCTATATAAGATGTGTGAAAACTGAAGTGATAAAATAAGTATTGAGTAGGGGCAGACACTAGCATCCAAGTTTGATGATAAAGAGAACAGAAGGTTTGGTACTTAAGTACTCAAGTTCTCACTACGTCAAATGCTTTGGAGGCACTTTAGCAAGGTCGTAGCCACTGGAATTAAACTCATGCATTTATTACTTGGTTGCCTAATTGGAAATATCACTGCTCTTCTTTGGACAAGGGTTTCTTATCGTAATATTTGGACTAAGTAAAGTCCAAACTTTCCTCTAGCTCCATGACTTCTTTACAACTTGGTTTATCTGTGACTGTTCATTGCAGGGTACAACCATAATTACATCACTGACATCTGTGCTGCATGACAGCAAAGAATTCCCCAATCCAGAGAAGTTTGACCCTGGCCATTTCCTGGATAAGAGTGGCAAATTCAAGAAGAGTGACTACTTCATGCCTTTCTCGACAGGTAATAGAAATTTATTTCCATTGGTTTTTATTCAGGGAAGAAAAACTTGGGATCACTTAAACTTGACAATGCTTATTTGGGGGCTGGTAGAAATGTTCTTTGCACATGTCAGGAGCAACACTCCCAGTGCCCGTGCACTGTCCAAGATCAGGCTACAAAGTCATAACTGTGTCTAATTACTGGGGTGTTGGGAAAATTGACCTCGTTCTTCCAAAGTCAGAAAGCTACAGAGAAAGTAAATTGAGTCATGCCTCAAAATACAACACTGTACTCCAAGAACTCTTCTTAGAAGATTCAACTCATCTCCACTGTCCTCATTTGCCCTCTGAAAGATATCTAACTACACAATTTTAGTGAGTATCTTCCATGTGGGCCCTCTCATTCCTCTGCTGATCTCTTGGCATGGTAAGTATCTAGAGCACAGAATGGGCCACCCAAAGCATCCCACAACCCAGTTAGTCAAGCAGATGAAGAGATAGATTGTTGTAATCCAATATGACTAATCCTGTGGGAGAGAAGAAAGGATTGTCTGTTCATAATTGCAGAGGGAGAACATGCCGCCAGCCTTTTCTCTCATACCACACAGTGAAGCATAAAATGAATTGACTACTGTTCAAATAGAAGAAAGAACATTAGAGCTGCTTCATAAGAGGCCAAGAAAAAGGACTGAAGAGAGGTAAAGGCATTTTAAGAGACAAAAACCAGAGACTAGGATATTTGCTCTTGATCAAGGACACCAGAGCCTTATGACTGGTAAATAAGGGTCAGCAAACCTTGGGAATAGTGCAGATTATTCTTTAAGAACACCAGACCACCTTTGTCTCCCTACATCTAGATCCTCCTTGGAATACAGGACCCTTCATATCTGAAGTGTGTGCTGAGTCTCTGGCATATCATTGCCTAAATTTATTCTTTGACTCTTCAGGCTTGCTTTTAGGTCTGGTACTATAGATACTATTATGAGAAGAACTGAGCCCTACCTTAATGGAACTCCTATTTAGGAGGCTAGAAAAATAGAGAATAATGATTCAAACTAACTATGCTTCAGTGCTGAGTAAAACCAAAGAGGACAGGAATCCACAGCCTGCAGGAATCACAAAGCGTGTAAAAGAAAAATGACAAATGTAAAAGAAAAATAATCTAGGATTTGAGAGAAGTATGAAGTGCATCCTAGTCAAAAGAACAGCATGAGATAAAGCTTGAAATTGCATTGTATGTTTAAGGCTGATGAGACTAGATAGATGTGACGAATGGGAGGAATGATCATGGAACTTCAGACTGGGAACAAGGAATACAATTAGTCAGCATGTGTTTCTGGGAAAAGATTGATGGAAACATGAAATGTCAAAAGAACAGTCTTACTTTGGACATGGTTAAGAAGTTCTTAGCGTAGAGCTGATGGTCAATAAATACTGATGGAATGAAGAGTGTTGATAAATTATTAGGTGGATATCAGATGTTTCCATCCATTTGTTTAATGAGCCATCCTTTATATTTACTCTCTAAAACATTTTTAGTTTTAGATGGACACAATATCTTTATTTTATTTATTTAATTTGATGTCACACTGAGGATCAAATCCAGTGCCTCACATATGCTAGGCAAGTGTTCTACCACTAAGCTACAACCCAACCCTATATTTACTCTTTGTCTATCCATCCTTCCATCCATCCATCCATCCACCCAATCGTTCATCACATAGTGACTCTGTATTCTTCATGTGTCAATCAGAAATAAACCGCACAGAATATTTACCCTCTCTTTTGATTATTTCAGGAAAACGGATTTGTGCAGGAGAAAGTCTGGCCCGCATGGAACTGTTTATATTCTTGACCACCATTTTACAGAACTTTCGCCTGAAATCTGTGGTTGACCCAAAGGATCTTGATATCACCCCAGTTTACAATGGATTTGTCTCTGTGCCACCTGCATACCGAATCTGCTTCATTCCTGTCTGAAGAAGTGCACTCTGTCTGGCTGCTGCTGTGCTGTCATCTGGAAATCTTCTCTTTGGGGTTCTTCCTCCTCCTCCTCTACAGGCTTGTCTTCTCTGACCTGCTTCTCACCACTCTATTTCTTTGAACTTCAGTGAACATCCAACCCCACTGGAGAGAGTTTCCTAAGTTTCCACAAATGCACGCTTCCTATTCACATACTGTAACACTTGCATTAGCCACAGTATATTTTAACAGTCTTGTGAGTTTTTACTATGGCATCACTGTTAAACCAATGAAAGCCTGGGGGTAATCATGTGAAGTGAAATAAGTCAGGCATAGCAAGATCAAGCCACATGTTTCACTTTTATGTGTAATATAAAAAAAGTCACACTCTTAATGATAAGTAATTGTTATCAGAATTTGGGAAGGGGTGACAATGTGAGTGGATGGGGAAAGAAGTTAGTTAAATAAAGCGTGATAAAGTGGTCCATGCATATAATCCCGTTGGCTGGGCAGTCTGAGGTGGAATGATTGCAATGATAGCCAGCCTCAGCAATTTAGGGAGATCCTAACATCTAAGAGCGATCCTGTCTTAAAATTATATATAACAAGTGCTGGAGATGTGGCTCAGTGGTTAAATACCCTTGGGTTCAATCACTGGTATCAACAACAACAACAACAAAAAACCACAACCCCTTCCCCCAAACAAACAAACAAAAACCTTGGTGATTGCATTGAACATACCTGCAATAATACAGTAGAATTTATCCATGTTATGATCCTTGACATAAATATATCCATAATGTCCCTTTATCATGTAACTTAACACATTCATGGGTTAATAAGTTTCAAGGATTAAAATATAGGTGTTTTGGGGTATGAAGTCATTATTCAGCATATGAAATTATTATATCCTATTACTAACAAGATGATTCAGACAAGGCTTTGTTAAGTATCTTGTTCAGGCTCACAAGGAGATGAACCTCAGAGTCATCTGGCTTTATAATAAAGGTTTCTAATCAGTTTATTTTAATTATTATTGGGTTCAGTATCTTTCTGTTTTATAGCTTTATTGGCAGGTAATTGACATACAGTTAATATATGTTAATATTTAGTGGAGATAACATATTTTCAGATTTCAAAGAAAAAGAAAACAGACTTCATAACAAGGATCAAGATTCAGGAAGGAATGCAATTTCTCAAAAGCAGCACAGTACACTAGAAATTACTAGAAATAGGCCTTGAGAATTTTTTTTTGGGGGGGGGTACCTGGTATTGAACTTAGGAGTGCTTAAACACTGAGCCACATCCACAGCCCTTTTTAATATTTTATTTAGAGACAGGGTCTTGCTGAGTTGCTTAGGGCATCAGTAAGTTGCTGAAGCTGGCTTTGAACTCGTGGTCCTCCTGCCTTAACCTCCCAAGGGACTGGAATTATAGGCATGCTTCACTGCATCAGGCTGCCTTGAGGATTCTCAGAGAAAGTGTTTTAAACCTAGAAACCTAAATTCAGCCAACATTCAACTAATTTATAACAAAATATCAGGAAATTGATTTTCTGTATTAGTCAGGGAGAGAGAGAGAGAGAGAGAGAGAGAGAGAGAGAGAGAGAGAGAGAGAATATCAAAGTGATAGTAACCATGGTCCACTTTGTGCTTTGAATATGACCCTTGCTGCTCTGCCTCTGCAACTTATTGTTGAAATGGACATGTTTCTTTCTCTTCTTCTCTCCCTGCTCTTCCTCAATCTCTCCCTTTCCCAAATCTCAGGGGAAACAGAGTTATCTGTTCCTGGGTACACACCCACCAAAGGAATAAAGTAATCCAGACTTTGGGGATGGTACCAGAACATCTCAGAAATGACTGTCTCCCAAATTAAAAAGTGAATTACAACACCAACAGAGAGCACATGGAATGTAGTCTTTGAGTCACCTCTTTAAATGCTCCCGTTTCCTGTTGATGGGCAGAATCTACCTCTGGGATAAGAATCCTCTGTGCTTCTTTTTTGGATCACAATGTAATAAACCTTCTTTTTCCTTTTTCTCTAAATCATGTCCTCGTTTTTAGATTGACATCAGGAACAAAGACTGAGATTTCAGCAACACTAGTTATAGATACATGGTAAATAGAAGACAAGGAATTTATTAAAGGAATTAGCTCACATGGTTGTGGCAACTGAAAAATTTTTCTAGGTGATCTTCACTCTGTAGAACAAAGAAAACCAGTGATGTGACTCAGTTAAAGTCTATGGCATGAGCATGGTAGAGTAATGCTCATTTGAAAACACCTTCACAGAGATACCCAGAAATTATGCTATTGGTTATCACTCAATCCAGTCAAGTGGAAGTCTAAAGTTGATTATATCTCCTTTGCCCTTTTGTTTTGAGAAGGGTGTTCTTGTAAACAAGAGAAAAAAACTTATTTTATGAAGTTAGCATCATCCTGATAACAAAACCAGTCAGAGACACATCAAGGAAAGAAAATTACAGACCAATATCCTTGATGAATAAAGACGCAAAAATTCTCAATAAAATTCTGTCAAATCACATACGAAAGCATATTTTAAAAAAGTAGTGCACCATGATCAAGTGGGGTTCATTCCAGGGATGAAGGTTGGTTCAGCATACAGAAATCAATAAATAGAATTATTGTATCAATATACTTAAAGATAAAATTATATGATTATATCAATTGATGCAGAGAAATCATTTGACTAAGTACAGCACATTTTCATGTTTGAAAAACTAGAAAAACTAGGGATAATAAGAACATACCTCAACATTGTAAAAGCTAGCTATGCTAAACCCAAGGCCAACATCATTCTAAATGTATAAAAATGGAAGCATTCCCTCTAAAAACTGGAACAAGACAGGGATGCTCTCTTTCACCACTTCTATTCAACATAGTCCTTGAAAGTATAGCCAGTGCAATTAGACAGAAGAAAGAAATTAAAGGGGTACAAATAGGAAAAGAAGAACTCAAACTCTCATTATTTGCTGACAACATGATTATATACTTAGAGGATCCAAAAAATTCCACCAGAAAACTTCTAGAATTAATTAATGAATTCATCAAAGTAGCAGGATATAAAATCAATACTCATAAATCAAATTCACTTCTATACATCAGTGATGAATCCTCTGAAAGAGAAATTAGAAAAAACTACCTCATTCACAATAGCCTCAAAAAAAAAAAAAAGAAAAAAGAAATACTTGGGAATAAACTTAACAAAACAAGTGAAAGACCTCAACAATGAAAACTACAGAACACTAAAGAAAGGAATTGAAGAAGACCTTAGAAGATGAAAAGATCTCTCATGTTCTTGAATAGGAAAAATTAATATTGTCAAAATTTCCATACTACCCAAAGCACTATACAGATTCAATGTGATTCCAATTAAAATTCTATCATCATTTCTTGTAGAAATAGAAAAAGCAATATTGAAATTCAACTGGAAAAATAAGAGACTCAGAATAGCCAAAGCAATCCTTAGCAAGAAAAGTGAAGCAAGAGGCATCACTATTCTAGACTTTAAACTATACTACAAAACTATAGTAACAAAACAGCATAGTATTGGCACCAAAATAGACATGTAGACCAATGGGACAGAATAGAAGACAGAGAGAAAAACCACATAAACACAGTTATCTCATACTAGACATAGTTACCAAAAAGATACATTGGAGAAAAGATAGCCTTGTTAACAAATGGTGCTGGGAAAACTTGAAATCCATAGGCAGCAAAATGAAAATAAACCCCTATCTCTCACCATGCACAAAACTCAACTCATAGTGAATCAAAGACCTAGGAATTAAACCAGAGACCCTTTGCGAAATAGAGGAAAAAGTAGGCCCAAATCATTATCACATTGGATTAGGCCCTGACTTCATTAACAAGACTCCTAAAGCACAAGAAAAAAAAATCAAGAATTAATAAATGGGATGAACCCAAACTAGAAAGCTTTTTCTCAGCAAAAGAAACAATCAATGAAGTGACGAGAGAGCCTACATTTTGGGAAAAATTTTTGCCACATGCACCTCAGATAGAGCACTAATCTCCAGGATACATAAAGAACTAAAAAAACTTAACACCAAAAAGCCAAACACCCCAATAAATAAATGAACTAAGAAGCTGGACACACACTTCTCAGAAGAAGATATACTTTTGATCAACAAATATATGAAAAAATGTTCAACATCTCTAGTAATTAGAGAAATGCAAATCAAAACTACTCCAAGATTTCATCTCATGTCAGTCAGAATGGAAGTTATCAAGAATACAGACAACAATAAATGTTGGCAAGGATTGGGGGAAAAGGCACACTCATACATTTCTAGTTGGACTGCAAATTGATGCAACCAATCTGGAAAGCAGTAATGGAGATTCCTTAAAAAATAAAACTTAAAATGGAACCACCTTTTGATCTTTTTATACCACTCCTTGGTCTACACCCAAAGGGCTTAAAATCAGCATATTATAGTAACACAGCTCCACCAATGTTTGCAGCAGCTCAATTCAGAGTTGCTAAACCAGAGAAGCAACCTAGATGTCCTTCAATAGATGAATGGATAAAGAAACTGAGGTATATATGCACAATGGAATATTACTCAGCATTAAAAGAGAATAAAATCATGACATTTGCAGGTAAATGGATGGAGTTGGAGAATATCATGCTAAGCAAAGTAAGCTATAATCAAAAACCAAAGGCCGAATGCTCTTGCTGATAACTGGATGCTGATCCATAATGGGGCGGGGAGGGGGGAATGGGAAAAATGGAGGAAATTTGATGGGACGAAGGGGAGGGAGGAGTCTGGAGGGGGGATGGGGGCAGGAAAGATGGTGGAATGTGATGGACATAATTACCCTAGGTACATGTAAGACAGTACATACGGTATGATGCTTCATCATGTACAGCCACAAAAATGAAAAGCTGTGGAGCAATTGTGTACAATAAATTAAAATGCATTCTGAGGTCATATATACCTAATTAAAATTAATTAATTAATTAATAAAAACATTAAA